ATTCCAGTTCATTTGTGAATCGTCAGGTATTGTATAACATTGGGCAGTAATATAATACAGGAATAATACTTTTTTGTTCATGATTTGTTAAATTATCAAAGATTAAGGACTTTGGAAAATGATATTCAAAAAATCGCTAAAAACAAAAATAAATGTCCATATAAGTTTGCTTAATTAAAAGTTTACATACCGTTATTAATTTCTTTTGATTTATGATGACAGTTCGGTTTTGACATCTAATTAAAGTTATAATTTACAAAAAAAGGCTACAGACATATATGATTATGCAGTAACTATTTATTTTCATTCTAGGTTCACTTTGTTGAGTGAAACATGGAAAACAACTGTTACATTAAACTTCTTCAAAGTAGAGGAATGATAAAGTCATGATGGTTTACAGATTCTTAATGTATTTGAAAATAAAATGAGGATAAGTAAAAAAAGAAAGGAGGAAGAACTTGTCTGTGTCGTTTATTTTTGATAAATACTTTGTGCCTCCCTTCTGGTAAACATGAAGGTAGAGAACAAGGTTAAATATGCAAATAAATGTGGAAGAAATTGACACACTGTGCTGCTAAATTCCAGTTCATTTGTGAATCGTCAGGTATTGTATAACATTGGGCAGGAATATTACAGTAAAAACAGGAATAATACTATTTTGTTCATGGATTGTTAAATTATCAAAGATTAAGGACTTTGGAAAATGATATTCAAAAAATCGCTAAAAATTAAAATAAATACATCAATGTCCATATGATACTTCAATTTATATTAAAAGTTTATTTTGCAGGAATATATATATTTTTATGTATATAAAGGGTTGCTGACATAATAATACAGTTATAAATATTTTACAAAGCAAGGATGAAAATGTTACTTTAAAAATTTGAAAGGCAATGTAATAAATAAAAAGTTTTTCCTAATAGAGGGAATACATTAAAATAAAGTTTTCAATTACATCTTAATTAAGGGAACTAATTAACAATTATATATACAATACAGATTGCAAATATGAATTAGAATAAATCCAGCATTCATTTTATCTCATATCAAACAGTAGATTAGTCTAAATTAGCTACAGAACTATAGCGTTACAGTGTATGGTTTTATTTTCATTCGGACCATAGCGTTATGGTCAAAGACTAAAATGTTGTTTTTATTTATGAAGGCTACAAGGAAATCAACTATTTATAACTTTATTATTAAACTCCTTTATATATAGTAGACAATGCAAAAATATATATATTCCTGATTATGTATTCTATAATAAGTCATAATATAAATTGAAGTATATCTTGCTGACCAAAAATCAAATGATTATTTAACTTTCTTTCTAATATATATAGCATTCATTGTAATTTATTCAAATGTATTTGTTATAAATATATTAAAATTTATTGATAGATTAAACAAAAGAAAGGGGAGTAAGAATGTTGAACCCGCATTTGTGGTTAATATTTTTGATAAATAATTTATGCCTCCCTTCTGGTAAACATGAAGGTAGAGAACAAGGTTCAATCTGCAAATAAATCTGGAAGAAATTGACACACTATTTAGGTTACACCTTACCATTTATAAACAAGATTACCACAACGAAGTGTCTGCATTAAAATTCTGCAACGATTGGCATCTTGTAAAATTTTGTACATTTCAATTTCATCTAAAATACACCGTGTCATTTCTAGTTGAATGCTTTAAAAAGAAAACTACTATCTTACTAGAGCATTATAACAGCCTAATTCGCTTAACTGTTGAAAAAACTATCACTTTTAAATTGCTACACCATTGACTTGAAAGGTTTCCAACAACTATCGACATTGTCATTTCTACCAAATGGGAAAGCAGTTCTAGTTTTCCTATGTAGTATTCTTCTTCGATGTCTATGGAAGGTGAACTCAGGAATGGACATACAATTAGTACGATGATGTTTTGGAGGTCTGTGTTTGCTCTGCTCCTATTTTGCATTGTTTTATGACCGTTTGATATTGAATACTGTTCGTTATCTCCATATGTTTCAGGGTAGATATTTTTTACCATTCCAACTTTTATTTTTAAAAAAGAGTAAGCAGGTAAATTAAGGTGTCTGTGGAGAAGCTGCTGCCTCACTTGTTAATTTGTAATTTAGTAATTTATGCTGGGATATTCTTTTAAGTGGACCCTTGGTTTTACCAGCATAAATCAGCCCACAAAGGGTATATTCTATTCCGTGAACAGACAAGAGATCAGTTGTTCATATTTTTTGAGGTTTTTGATCTAGAAGTCCAGTAAGATAACTAGAAAACGAAGAGCTATATTTAAAAAAAAAACATCACTTGTTTTACCGCCTTTGACAGAACATTCAGAAAAAGATGAGAAAAGGTCCTGGTGGTATGGGTTCTTCAAATATTTGAATAAAAGTCTTTCTGCAAAACTGTGTGAAAAAATGTGAATTTTGATACAATTAATTTTAAGGTAAGTTGATCGGAACCTCATCCATTCACAATTCTATGTTCAGTTTCTATCCTTAGTTGTATGCTATACATAATGTAAGTTTATGGTAACTTCATGCAAAAGCTGTAATCAATTAAATGCATTAAAGCCGTATGTGTCATATTTTTCAAGTTCAATTAAACAAATTAAAAAAAAACACCTTTATTTGTTTTTATAGATTTACAATTAAAGATACTACAGAGTCTGACACATCTGTTTCATTTTTATATTTTACTTGAAAAAAGACATTAATAGAAATCTAACAACCAAGTTCGATGATAAACGTGATGACTTTAACTTTGCAATTGTCCGCTTTCCTTACTTTTGTAGCATTATGCAGAATGTACTTCATTACCTGCATAAGGAGTTCATATCTCTCAGTTGATTCGATACGCAAGAGCATGCTCTACGTATGTACAATTTGTAAAACGAAGTAAATCATTGACAGATATGTTGATGAAACAAATATAGCAGCAATCTTGTTTAAAGTCATCTAAACCTTGTCAGTAAATACACATCATCACTGAGTCAAATACTGCAGTTTTTCAATTGTTAGTCCATTGTTTACACACTGAATTGACAACGGATTGTATCGTTATTTCCCGGTCATGACAAGGGGCACACAGTGGGTGTGACCATTTGGCAAGCGATGCTCACTCCTTCATGGCACCTGATCCCTCCTCCGATGTTTTGGAGGTCTGTGCTTGCTCTGCTCCTGTTTTGTATTGTTTTATGGACTTTTTATCTTGAATACTGTTCGTTATCTCGAAATATTTCATTTATATAAGGATAGTTTTGTTCTGTTAATTACACAATTTTAATCAATAGTGTTTGAAAGATATATAAATGTTAAATAAATGAATAAATAACCCATTTATTTACCTCCACTGCAAAAAAATTACAAAAATGCAGTTTAAATTTTCATTAAATATTCAAGTTCCAAATCGTTGAAAATCTTAATATTAACGTAAATAAAATATCATGTATACATACCTATAAACACTCTCTCTTTTTTATAGTTTATCTAGCCCAGATACGCCAAATACAGATTTAATATTGTGAGAGAATGATATAAGGAGGAATACGTTAAAAACAAAATTACTTTTTGTTTGTCCGTCGTGTTCTTCAGTATTCAGATTCCTTTTTTTCCTTTTTATGGTATAATTGTTCAGAAAGAACACACGTCTTGAAATGTTCAAGTTACCCTAACATACGGTACAGTAACAGGCGAAGGCTAGATTTATCAATGGTATTGCCATATCAAAAAAAGGGAGATGCCTTGGAAATTTGAGAAAAAAGTATAATATTATCAAATAGTCAATGAATTAACTTCCTGGTATTTGTATGTCTCATTCAATCATGTTTTACCCCATTAGTCTTGTCCTTGAATGATAAAGAAGAACACGCTAACATTTTATCTTCGACAAGTCAAATTTGAGCTACACTAGTTTGCCCTACCTTCAAACCATCAACTATAATGGGGCAGTAGACTTACTAAAAGCCACCCACCATTTATTATCATTCCTGACTGCCTCAAGGGTAAAATTTTTACATTTATGCAAGAAGTAAAAAAGATTGCAATTTTCAAAGTATAGGAAATAATTTCTTTGATCTAAATCATGATTTAATACTAGTAACTGATTTTCTGAATTTTCTGATTTTTAAATTTGTATAACTTTCCATTTTTTGTATAGTTTTCAAAATATGTGTTATCATTTTCCTTTTCTATTGTATATATTTTTGTTCAAATTGTATAATTGTATATTTACTGCATAAATTTTCATTTGCATTGTATAATCTTTATTTGTATTCCGTGATTTTCAATTTGTATTCTTTTTAGTTTTATTTGTATTGTATACTTTTTATATGAAATTGTATTGTTTGGTTTTACGTCGTAAATATTATATATTTTTATTTGTAACCTATTATTTTCCGTTTGTGTTATATTATTTAAATTTAATGATTAATCTCTTGCTTTTATTATATATAAAAAATAATTGTAAAATCTTCATTATCACTCTTGGATTCCAGACACTGGGGTTAAATTGGTTATTGTCATAAGAAATAAATTTCAACTTCCATGTACATGTATATATGCAATGTATAAACAGTAAAGAAAGCAGTTTTCATACGTTGTCAATATAGTTGCATTTACAGCACAACTTTTTGTGTTGCATTAATGTTCTCTTAGGGAATGTAACAAGCAGCAGGTTACATTTCCTCCAAAATTTAAATAAGGCCCACAATGGTAATAATTTGTTTATTTTATTCTTTGATTTTCAGGTAAATGAACTACATGTTTATTTACTTTCAAATTGTATCTCATTTGATCATTGGATTTCCCCCCACTATATATCCAATGTAGCTCACAGTGAAACACGAACATGTACAGCTAACCTTTACTTTTCTTATTATCAAATATATGAAGATGAACTGTTTATCAATGTGTGTAGGTTTTAAAAAGTTAACATCCTACTTCATATTGATCTCTGTTAATTACTTGTATATGGTTTCACATCTCGAGCTCGTTTAAAATAGTGTGCATTGTATAAAACCTCGATACATTTGCAATAGATATGTACAAAAAAATTCATACATTAAAAAAAATCAATCTTTACGTAGCCTTTAGATCTTTTTCTCCATATGTTGCCGTTTTCTGTAGTCTAAACCACGTGATCACATCTTTTTATCAAACGTGTCACGTGACAGACAACCTTCCATCGATCCTTTCACTGTTCAGTATGAGTAGATAAGTTTGATAGCAGTTTCTCCGTTTGCCAGGTGAGAACGCCCCTATCTCAGTCATATACCGATATACGTGTACAGATAACTTGTGAACAGTGAAACTTTCTTCTCTTGTGTTCACCTGTCGGGATAAATTTGACTTGTGAAATTCTGCAATTGTCTTTTATCAGGGACCGTTAAAACTACTGCCGAATAGTACATTGATAAAACTGATATACCACACGTATGTATTTACTTTTATGATCGTCAAGGTGGCGGGTTTCACATGGTGACTGGGTCTAGAGTTTGATTCTTCAACATGCATGATTTGGTAGCAGTTAATGGTGATAGAAAGACAATCGACCAACCTGTATTGCTGGAAGACTATTATAGCTCTTTAATTTATTTTTTAATGTTAAAATAAGATGTTCTTGGCGATAATGAATAAATATGTATTTGAAAGCTTTTGCTTTGTGCTTTACTTTTCTGATGACTTTATGGTGAATTTAATGTCTCTATTAATGTAGTTTATACTGATGACAAACTGTATCAAAAAGTGTTTCATCAGGGTTTATCATTGACCATTCAGCAGTGATACTCATCTTCTTAAGTTGATGTTTATCATTGTACCTGCCCCCTCTCCAGACTATTGACGTCATCTAATTTCGCTCCCGATAAAGAACATCACTTCTTGTCAATATTACTGCATGTAGTAACCTCACGAAAAAGATATTTTAATTTCTTTGAACATTTTATTTCGCTGCTAAAATTTCTTCAGAAATTTCTGAAAGTAAATGCATTTCCGTCTTTGAAACATTATCAGAATCAATTGCAGAATGTTCCAACTTTGGAAGTCTTTCTTTGAAAATTTTGAAATAATTTACAATACATGTATGCATGTACTATAGCACTGCATTCTTTATTTCTCTTCCGTACCTAATTTGTTTGCTATTATAAATCTGATAATAAAAAATCTTGACACACTTGGTAATAAATTTGATATCGTGTTTATACTTTACAATATGCCCATGAAAAGACAAAATAGAAAGACGTCATTTCACCCTCTGCCGGAAAATTAATGAATGTTTTGAAGTTTAGGCAGATGAAAGAACTGACGACAATGGATTCCAGTATTGCTTTCCATGTCTGGCATTGCTATAAAGATGTCCAATCTAATTGCCACACATTCAGGCAACTAACTATGAAAAGTTCCCTTATCTGTTAGGGATAGATGGGTTATTGTGATCAATTTTGATCAGTTAAGTGGAAAAGTTGATTGCGAATATAAGAAGAAAATACTCGTTTACACGTATAAAAGTTTGCAGTGACAGCGGTGCTTTCTTATATATACATATATACGAATCTCTTCCTAAGTTGTTATTCCGTGATGAATGGCATAACATTTTTTGCAAAAACAATTTTCCTGAATTCTGTGGTTCGTTTCCATGTTTCCATGATCAGTGTTGAAATTCTGAAGACAACGATCTTGTTTTATTATCGTATAGTCTGTCGCAAATCTACGAAATCGACTATTTTCTCCTTTGTCTTTTCCTCTCGAAATGAAGCCTTTTACAATACATGTACCATTATTACAGAACAAATTCTGGCATATTATCTGTTACTTAATCAGGGACTACAAAGAGAAGTCTTAAAAGTGAATTTAAAACATGAAAAAAAATATTTTCCAACCTAAATTGAAAAAATTGTATTTTAATATTTCAGTTAATGGTACGAAACTAAACTTTATCATGAATATTTAAAAAAAGATAAGCAAAAAAGTAACTTTAACACAAAAAGTGTGGTGTTCATGTATTCCTCCTGCATTTATATACCAGGGTATACTCATGCTAATATATAAAAAGAAAATGAGTGTGAATTGCAAACGTTCAAAAGACAAGCTATAGTTAAACTTTTGATATAAAAATAAACAAACAGAAAGGACCTACCCCGCTCAAAACATACAAACAAAAGAGAGAACAAGAAAAAGAACAAAAATTTCAGCTGATTGACACGCAGGGAGAAAGATGTACACCGTCTTCGCATATCAGATATCCTGTTTGAACTTCAATAATCAATAAAAATGAGTCACGTTTACTACAGCAGCTGTAGGGACATGTGAATTTTTGATATGTTTGTAATAAAACCTTCTGAACATTACCTCGAAGGACAAAAATTCAATTTTTACTTCATATCATCCGAATTTTTCTATTTAATTAATTTTAAAAATTATTTGATGGTCCAAAACGTCTTTCCACTTTTAACTTTTATTTATGATATTACAGTGTTGCATGCAGGTGGAGTTTTAAACCGAGAAGCTACTTACAAATAGGTTGATGTCACAAAGGTTTTATCTGTCTTGTTTGTGTCAACGTTTTGCAAATGTCATGGTCATGATTAAAATCTTATATAGAATGTACAATTTCTTATGGTCAACTGACTTTTTATACTAATTGTTGGGCCATTGTTTACACACCTGGCTACGTTATTTAGCATGACACGGAGCACACGGTGGATGTGAAAGTTGGCACTAGTAGCTCGCTACTCATCCCACCTCTGATGTTTCGGAGGTGCATGTTTGCTCTGCTCCTATTTTGTACTATTTAATGGACTTTTGAACTCGAATACTGCTCGTTAGCTCCATATATTCCATCAGAGTAGTATATTTGCGTACAAAAACCGCAACCGGGGAATATTTTATATAACTGGGTAATGTTCACTTAGACATGCTAACTGGAAAACATGACTGTTTTAAAATGACTTGAACCTAAGGTCAAAGAACCTTTTGTGTAAAATTTGTCACATATTTTTGGATACAAATGTTGATATTCTTGAAAACTTGAATTGATACATATATACATATGTACATGTATACCTCTTGAACAATTTCTGCTAACATAAGTTATTCTGATTTTTTTCCTACAGATTTTTCCTAAAAAAGAAAATGAATATTTTGACATAATCTTGCTTTGACGTTATGAGTCAAGACTTTGATGCCGCCGACCAACTTTTTCAAATCTGTGATCTAGATGGTTCTGGTTATGTCGATGAAGCAGAACTCGCCCAGATATGCAAAGAGCTCCCTGCCGAAGATCTCCATGAAATATTCCTGGAACTGGACAAAGACCAAGATGGCCACATCAGTGTAGAGGAATTCAGAAGAGGTTTCAAAGAGATTTATAACAATGTAAAGAAACGTCGGCTCTCTAACAAGAACTCGGAGGAGGGGACGCCACAGAACAGCTCGGTGGACGATGCTGTATTTGATGATTTTGTTGGTTCTCTGGACGATGGACTGAAGGCGTTGTCTTGGTAAGTTAGAATTTTTTTCAGATGTTATATATTTTAAAAACATTTTTATAAAGTTGACAATATTATCACATATTGGATAGAAGGAATACCGTTTTTCTTGAAATCCGGACAACCTTAAAGCCCTATGGTATCACGATAACATAAAGTATTTCCAAGTTCCTTTAATATTTTTTGTGCCTCCGTATTCGAAGATTCGGGAATATATAGTTTTTTTTTCGTATCCGTCCATCTGTCTGTCTAGCTGTCTGTCTGTCCGCAAAAACTTTAACCTTGCCAATAACTTTTGATTTTATGGGGCTACGACTTTCATATTTCACAACTGTATTCCTTGTGAAAAGAGCTTTCTTTGGGAACCACCAATTTTGACCATTTGACCTTGGCCTTGGAGTTTGATCCACTTTTACACAAAAATTCCAAACTTTTCCTTTAGCTATAACCTTTGAACGGTAGATACTAGGACTTTCATATTTCATATATGTATTCTTTGTGGCAGGACCTTTAATCGGATACCAACAATGATCTTTTGACCTTGACCTTGAAGATTTCCGTAATTATGAATAAAACTTTATCATTGGCCATAGCTTTTGAGTGTTAAGGGCTAGGACTTTCATACTTCATATATGTAATCCTTGTGAGAAAATCTTTCATTGGATACCAAGAACTTTGACCTTTTGTCCTTGAAGTTTGACCTACTTTTTAAAAACAAACCTTGACCATATCGTTTGAAGTGTTAGAGCTAGGGCTTTCATCGTTCACATATTTAATCCTTGTGACAAGACTTTAATTTGATACCAAGAACTTTGACTCGTGAACTTGACCTTGGAGTTTGATCTAATTTTTAAAACTTTAACCATGGCCATAACTTTTGCATGGTTACGACTAGGGCTTTCATACTTCACATATGAAATCCTCGTAGCAAGTCCTTTCTTAAGAAACGAAAAACTTTGACACGTTGACCTTGGAGTTTGCCCTACTTTTCAAAAACTTATCCTTGATCATGACTTTTGAACAGGTGGTGCCAGGGCTTTCATATTTCACAATTGTATTTCTTGTGAGAAAACCTTACTTTGGGTACAAATATATTTAAATTGCATTTAAGAAGAGTTTGATCTTCAATATGTTGCAATATGGGAGCATCAGTGTTTCAGAAAGACATCTTGTTTAACATATTGAAGGAAATCATTGATAAAATATTTTTAAAAAATACATGAAGAAACTAACAAGGAAGGCCCACACTTTTACGGATCCGGTTCTTATTTTACACATATAAAATAAAATATAAAAAAAATTATGATTTTCACTTTTCTATCGATATAAATCTTTTTGATTGATTGAGAATGATTTAGCAAGTAAATATTTGTTTATTATAGTGTTATTGTGCATATGAAGCATATAATATACATTATTTATGGAAATTAAAACTTTGCATTCTGTCCATAAGACCTATATGTCATTTAGAACTTATCCAGACACAAAATTCTTAATTGCTTTTAAAGACCTAAATCTTTTTAATTTTCTTTTAAGCAAACTAACCTGAGATCTATTTTTTTATTAAGAGATATCATCCATTTAATTTTTATTATTTAAAAATTTTACATTGAATAATTGAAAAAATTGATATTTCAAAAATGGGTGGATGATGCTGTAAAAGATGTTTTGTTAAAATTCTCTCTGGTCAATCATAATAAAGTAGATGTTTTTGTTAACATTAGATATAATTCTCAGATAGTTTTAAAAAAAAATTTTATCTAAACATATTGGATTTTAAGAATTATAAAAAAAAAGATATTTTGAGATTTTTTTCTGAAAGGCATGGACAAATTCAACACCGATTTGTTAATGTTTTGCAGTAAAAATTTCAAATTTTCTCTAGGTAAATGAATATTTTTGATCTTCATAAGTTTTAACATAAATTTGATGTGATTTGGTGCATAACTAAAGAAATAAAAAACACACTTTTTTATGTGCAATTTTGGCTGTTGAGTTTTTAGAGGTATGTGTGCTGAGACATGTTGTATGATAATCAATCTGCAAAGATATGTCAGGGTGTTCTTAATAAGACTTGTTCAAAGTATTCAAATTGAAAAATTATCAGTTTGACAGAAAATTCTGAAAGTACGGTTGGTTTTATTTCAACCAAAGGGCTGACGTCTGTTGTTCATATGTGAGAAAATGAGAAAAACGTGTACACAAATTATAGGGTTTTCACACGATACATCAATTAGGTCAATTTGCTAGTTTTTTTTTAACGTACGCGTTGGAATTTTAAATTTCAAAATGATCTACTTTGGATATCTTGTGCTGTCATGTTTCAGGACGTTCGATATTTCTATTGAAAATTTATTTTTTAAAATGATAAGTAAATCAGCGGCGTGTATGTATAGCTTGATCTTGGATTAAGGCGTTGAATGAACTGTTGTCCACAATATCAGTGACTCTGTTGATCCGCTACCAGACGATCGCTTCATCTTACTGTAAAGATATATTCGGTTCTTCTATAAGACGATTTTGTCAGCTAAACTACTTCAGGGTATATGATTTATTGTTCGATACCATTCATTACCGATAAGAATCCTGAAATGTCCGTGTCAATGATAATGTGGTCTGTAATTAATAGATATAATCTACAACTAGTTCTTCATTGTACGTTTCTAATTTCTGTTGACAAGAGAAACAAATAAGGCACCTTTATACAGAGTCTGTAATTAGTTCGGCTTCAAAGGGATCTACCAAATATAGTGAAAACTGAGAGGTTTTATAAAATAAAATCATAGAAAAGAATAGCAGTTTCTGCAAATAATCAAATAGACAATTTTTGTTAATTTGAAAAATTCATTATCAAGAATGAAATTTTTTTGATATGAATTGAACTGTGCATGATTTATGACACAGATTCTATTGCACTCTTGTCCTTTTACAAAATATTGTGAAGTAGCCATGCATAACACAAGGAAACTTATTTAGTCTGTAAGAAATACATTAGTAGCGATAAAAACGGATTATTCCTGATATACAATATAATCCTTTATAAATTTAAAAAAAAACAACAGATTTTTTAAAAATAGAAATTATATCATTTTCGTTTTAAAAGGATTATAAAACAATAAAAAGTTCAACAATAATAGGTCAGAGAAGCCTTATTATAACTTTGCCCAATGAAATAGACGCTTAGCATGTACCAACATATCTAAATATATCATTTAGTGGGACGTAAAATTTTATAAGATCTAATTATATTTTCTAAGTTAATATTAAGAATGAACATGCTGGTGGTATATTTATTTTTCTCATCAAAATTCAACTGACATCCAAATCTCCTAGCTTTGTTGTTGAAGGAGTTTAAGTAATAGCACTGTTCCAATAACAGGAGTAAATCTCTAATTGGTCGGATCAAAACTACCTATTATCGTCGCTGAACTTTTTAAATAAGTTTTGTCAACTTTTTAAATTTTATAAAGCGTTTAAGGGGGATTTTTCAGGACATATGTTTATTTAAGTTGACCGTTACACAAAGACCGATCTTAACATACGGTATCTGGGACTAAATAAAACGTGTAATAACTCCTTCAGTGTTAAATATATCGGATATGTCCCTGATTTGCTCAATCTGACTTTTGAGAAATTTTAAGAGGCCTTGAGCAAGTAAAAGGCAAACCAAGCTGAGTCATTTTGCAAGACTGATCCAAAGTGCAGACGCTAACAGATTATAGTCTGCCCGAGAAGTGTTAAATTTTGTTTAATTACTCAAGCAATTAGCAAATCTGTCATCCGTGATTCTACCCTCCGGATTAAGTATTACTCGTGTCAGTCATCAATTTAGGACCCTTGTTACGGTAAAAGTAGAAAAGTACCGAAGCATGCAGATAATTTTTTCGTGACGAACAGTGGTGTACCTATGTTTTCCTCACCTGTTGAAAAGTTGGGCAATTTAATATAATTTACCTACGTGGCAAGGTATAACTCTCCTACATGTTAAACAGTCCGACAGGTTAAAACGATTTTATCATCATAAACCTCCAAAGACACTCGATTCTTGCCGGGGTCCGGGCTTCAACCGTTTTGTTGGACGCCAAAGGATAAATTTTGAAATACTCCCTGAATGACAGTGCGATATATTTTACCTGTATGTAAATATTTAGATGTGTGGTTGCGGACTGTGATAATCTTTAATGAACTAATAATGGTTCTGTCGGGTGAGATAAGGTTAAGATCCTACCATTGAAGATCGCAGTAACAAATATGATACTTGTACATGTATATGTACATTAGATTTTGACTTCATGGAATATAGACGAAACAGATTTTGGAGCAAATAACGAAATTTTTACGAGGAGTATCATATACAATTTCAAATGAGACCGTGGATTTAAAAATATCCTCAAAGACACTGAGATTTAAAGAGTTAATAATTAAAAGAATTTCAGATTTAAATAAGCTGGACGTAATGCTTCAAATGTCTAGTGACCTTATGACGTACGGACTGGACGGTAACGAGTCGTACACTCGGGAGTCCTTCCACGAAATCGCCGAAAAAATGAACTTATCCAGCGAGGAACTGGACATCATATTTACCGCAGTGGACACGGACGGGGATGGGATAATTAGCAAAAAAGACCTAATTTGTGAATCTCCTCGCATGAACAGCACACCGACTCATCGTGTGGCCGACGGGCCAGGAAAATTCAGACACCCTTTTAAGAATCTTGCATCGGATTTTAGTTTTTTGTCGACTGAATGGTTGGTTTCTTTAATTTAAATTAATGTGTCTAATTTTTAACGGTAGAAAAGTAACAATAATCTAATTTTTACTGCAACATTGAAGTTTTGTATACACTTATTTAAAAAATTGCACAAAGCTTAATGGTTTAATTTACAACTAACTGCTTCAATACGCGAATACACTTAGTAGATTTGTTTATAATTGTATCATGTTGTAAATTTGAATACATCGGGTAGAGATAAATACCAAAAACAACATGATAATCTTGTGCTTCAAGTAGCTGTAATGTTCTGCAAACAAATAATGCATTAAAAGTCTTTGTTCTTAATTGAAATGGGTATGGTATCAAAAACTCGGGAATTTGTAAAAAATGATTGAATAGAATAAAAAAAGTTAACAATAAGTTAACATTGAAATATACCCAGTGACATATTAGATTATGTAGCATGATTTCTTATAAAGGGATTATTATACAAATATGGACTCAATGTAGGTCAATATGCATTTATAATGACCCAGGATGACAGATATTGACCTCAGATAAAATATGCAAGGGCGCTAGCCCGAGGTCGATAACTTCATGTATCTGAGGTCAATATCTGTCATCCTGGGTCATTATAAATGCAACCGTGCATTGAGTCCATATTTATTATATTATATAATTTCTAAAATTTATTAGGCCTAGTACAATGCATATCTTTTTAATGTTTACAGAGATATTGATATGCAGTTGTTGTAATCCATTAATAAGTTAAATGTAAATGTTTCAGAATTTAATAAATTTTCACATAAAAAACTAACAATAACAACCAGAGTTTCCTTCATTGAACAACAGTCCTTATAATGTATCTTTAAACAGAATTCTTAACATTTAACAATAACAATAATTTTAAATTTATCACATAGATAACAAATAATAAATAAAAAATAGATATCACAGATGTATTTCATATAGGCAATAAAAATGCCATTATTTTTAACCTTAAAACATATTATGACAATGTGCAACAATTAAAACAATAATAACAAAACATGTAACAAAATTAAAAATAATAACAGTAACATCACTGAAGTTATTATTCTTGAGTTCATGAACTCTTTCACTGATTTCACCAAAATACTAGGACATGTACTTGGTCTACTGATTATTCTTAAAACTGATATTGTAGGTGATTGTTACATTTGAACAATTGTACATGGTTGGTAAAACAGGAACATTTGGCAGGGGAATATTTGCATAAATATTGTCTAAACCATCATTCAAGGTTGCTTCATCATTGCAAGTTGTCGAAGTTGGAGAACATGGCTTTGGCAAAGGGAAACCAATTTCAAAATTTGCATTGGTAGGTAATTGAGCCTGGGTAATGGTGGATGATGCGTTAGACTTTGAATTTGATGACACGAAACGTGCACTTAAAGTTTCTGACATTAAACGTTTTGTACTTTCGGTTGTTTGACCCGAGTAAGTTTTTAAAGAACTTTCCGATTTGTGCCCTGTGACACTCATGATATGTCTACTCGGCACACGTGCTTCGTCTAGAATGTGGAAAGGGAATGGTTGGTGTATCGCCTTGACAAGGAGGCTGCTTCACTGATGGCACTCATCATGTTTCCAATCTTGTTGTGCCCCAACACTACATTATTGAAGTATACGTTATCTTTTGGTGCTGCACGCGGCTGTTGAAATAAAAATGGGCACAGTGGGTTCAATCTTCGGATAAGTTTCACAAAGCTCCTCAAAGGACATCGGTCACTATCTTTAAAAGAAAAATAATAATAGTCATTAACATTTTTTTCCCCAATGTTCTAACACTTTTAAGAAAACACTGTTATTTTTGTGAACTTATATAGTACTGTATTAGAACATACCTTTAATTTCATACATTCTGCCTTCTGCTTTGCAGCTGTCGTCTTGATGATTCTTTGTTTGTTCATCTCGAATTTTCTCCACACACATACATCCCTCTCCATCAGTACTAACAGAAAAGTCTGATCGTCGTAGAGTTCTTAAATTTTCTCGGCCTCTTCTACCAAAGTGCATCATGATGTCCACAAAGACCTACCAAATATCAAAATAAAGTATTAATAACTTTAGGCTTGTTACATGTTATCTAATATATGACTATTTGCTTTTATCAATTTTAAAATTTACCTTGTGTTGCAACACCTGGGCTGAGTCAGAGCTTGAAAGGTAGTCATACATTTTTATCAAGTCAGCATCAGATACAGGAGGATGGTGGTCTATGTTAGCCTGCCCCTGCCTCTTCAATTCCATTGTCATCCCTTTTTTTGTTTGAAAATAAATAAATTCTCAATCCTCTAAATACATTTCATAAACAAATACCAAAATAATCAGTAAGCTCATTGACTAGATAATTCGTGATAGAAGCCGTTAGTCCATTTATGAAAATCTTGAGTCTTACCTTTGAAAAACTTGTTTGACTCTCGGAAGAGAGGTCCCTTGATAATGTCAACATCTGGACGAATAGATTGCAGAAATCTCTGTATACCCTGACGATATGATAAGAGAGTGGTTTTTTTGTACATTTCCCCTTTGTTATTACGGAGTTCCACATAAAATCTCCCCAGCAGACTATCGAGTTCCTCGCACGCTAGGCCTTCGAATTCGGGACTTATTTCTTTAGAACGTAAATATTCACGAAATACGTTGACTGAAATTCTTGTTAATCTTTTAGTATTATCTGATTCCGAGTTATTTACTATCTCCTTTAAGTCCTCTTCGCTATAGCTCGCAAACTTGCGAGCTTTCTTGGAATCCATATTTTGATTGAAGCGAAAGTGAAAACGAGGCAGCTCGTGCGAGTCATTATTCGCTTTCAGCGGTCGTTATTAAAAAATAAGTACTTCGTATTGACCAATCAGATTATCGGATTTCACAAAGTTATATAATATTGTGCTTTAAGCGTTAAATCACATTAATTCACCAACTAGAGTCACGGGAGAATAAGGTTATATGAACCTTCAGTGAACATCGTAATACGATTTTAGTAGACTAAATATTTTATGAGTGCAGTTAAGGTCAACTATTGTAATCAAAAGTAAATTTCTGCTACAGGCATATATATCCAGTAAAAAAAAGAACGAATTTCTCCACATTAATTTTATTCCGCATTAAAATGGACTAGGACATGTGAAATATTCTATTTATCGTGATAGATACCGGTATTCGAGAGGCATGATAAAAAGAATCCTTTTAAAATGCTTTTTGAAAGATGAAAAACACTTAACACACGAAGCAGATGCTATCTGTATGAAAATTTGTTTGAAGAACCAGTATTACTTTCCATTTTCAGCCAGGAGCAGGTCTGTGAGCTGTACCAACAACTCCATGCCTCTGATCACTCGGACCTGCTTCAGAACTTTGAATCCATTATCCTCGGCGTGCTGAAAGACGTCCGCTTCTATCAGGTGGAAAATGAACGACTCGAGAAGTCCTTCAAAAGGTGACTTTGATTTTTATTGTGAAAAAAGACCATGACTTCTCAACTCTTTATTATTATTTCTTCAACGTTTTATTAAAGGCATTTTGTCGAAGTCCTCCAAAGATTTGTCGTACACAACCATTGTTTGTATTTTAATATTGTGTTGGATTTCATTATATATTTAAAAAAGAGATAATTTTTCACCAATCATCACACCTTCATATAAACCAATATAAGTATTAAAAGAACAGCAGCGTTCAAAATGTGAAATCTGTTTGGTGTTCAAAAAATCAGTCCTTGGTCACAAGTTGATACATTCTATGATTTCCATTTGTCTTTAGTTGTGACAAGTGTTATTGTGACGTACTGTTTCATATTTATTCGAAATTGATAATTTACATCCCAGAACAAAGTGATTTTGTGAAAAAGAAATGGTAAAACATCGACCGGAAAGGCGGTGTCCTCCTCCAAAACGGAAAGCTTGACTTTGAAATTCATTGATTAGGCAAATGTTGTAATGTTCTAAGATCTATTGAGAAAATGGATTTTGATATCCAACTTATTGAATCCGTGGAAAAACTCTTTAACTTTGCTCTGGAAAAACTCTTTAACAGCAAACTTAAGTAAAAAACAAAACTGAGCTATATCAATGGTTCATGAAAAGTAGCCGAGTTTTCAATCCTGCAATATAATTCATACATGTAACTTTGTACTTAAACAAATTTTCTTTGTCTTATCCTAACTCATGTTTATTGTTACAGAGAAAAAGAACAACATGAAAGGCATCTTCGAGAATTGGAAGATGAAATGGACAAAGAGATTCAAAAACTTGAAGAAGCTTTCAAAGAAAAGGTAACGAATCGCAATCCACACCCTCAAAATCAATAAGAAGTCAGAGATTGGATTCAAAATTTGACAAAATCTTGAATCTCTATATTAAACTCGTAAATAACACGTAGACTCTCAGTTAATCTAAGTGTAAGGACATACTTACTCTTATAGAAGAATTATAGGCCTTTTGGTCTGATACATGAAAAAAAAAAATGACCAAAGACAAATAATTGCACCTACTACATGTAAGGTGTCCTTTAATAATGACATTTAGAGATATCGACGATGTATTGTCAATAAACAATGGTAATTTTTATTCTTATGTCGATACCATATAGTACGGTGAGCTTGAAATAAAAGATACCAAAGAGTCTAACACAGCTGTTTCATACTTAACATTTTTTTGAAAGAGACATTAGGCCTATTGGTAATCGAACAACTTAGCTTTATGCACATGACTACTAGTAACGAGATGACTTTTATGGTAAGCCATAAAGGACAGCAAGTCATGTGCTATATATTTCATTGAAAATCAATCCTGACCAGTCAGGATGGCATCCTGACCATGTCAAGTTTTAAACATGACCAAGTCATGATTTTCACCATCTTGACTGGTCAGGATTGATTTTCAATGAAATATATAGAACATGACATGGGGATCCACTATGGCTTTCCATAGATTTTTGCTTCTTAGTCGTCAAGTTCCCTTATACTCATGCAGCAATATACCTTCACCACCTGCATACGGGGTTTATATTTCTCAGTTTATTCGATATGCAAGAGCATGCTAAACGTATGAAGAATTCTTACAACGAAGTGTTTTAAATAAGTTATTGACAAGTTGATGAAACAAGGACATCAACAGTCTCTTTTAAGTAATCCTTTCTAAAGTTATATGGTAGATACAATGACCTTATCAGCAAATACAAATACAATTTATCATTAAGTCAAATGCTGATTGACATTTTTCATACTAATTGTTAGGCCAATATATTAAAAAAATGAATTGTCGACGGATTTTCCCGTTAGTTCTCGATCATGAAAAGGAGCACACGGCGGGTGTGACCGGTCGGCAGGAGATGCTCACTCCTCCGTGGCACCTGATCCTACATTTGATGTTTTGGAGCTCCATGATTGCTCTGCTCCTGTTTTGTATTGTTTAAAAGACTTTTGAGGTTAAATACTGTTCGTTATCTCCAATTATATTTCATATTACAGAATCCTTCTACATATATCAAAAGTTAATGGAAATGACCCTTGTCTGAGAAGAAATTTTAAAATTGCAATCATATTTATTGTCTATGCGAAGAGACTCTGAGGCATATGGGGAGAGGGCCAATCCTCATCCTTGCAATTCACCTGACATCTTGTTACAATACGTTAATCTGCATTCCTAACATCCTAAATGTGAAATTCTAGGGCTCTCTTTCATCAATAATGCACATCAATAATAAGAAATGAGTCTTCTACAATAAACAGTAACTGTTACATGTATCTGATATGAAGGAAATTTATGTGACCAGTATTATTGACCGCGTACATGGTAACACTTGATTCACATATAAACCTTTGGAAACTGTTTTTGTGAAGACATCAAAAGTCAATGACCATGTGATATAACGCCCACGGATTTCCTCTCAACAGCCATGTTTGATTATTTACATTTTATATAGCCCCAAAAGCAAAAAATAAGTATTAACACCAAAGGATGATCGATGCGTTGGAAACATTGTGCGCAAAGTAATTGTATAATACTGTTGATGTGCTGAGGCACACAATGTAACATTTAAACAACAGAATGGCAACAGATTTCGTGTGAATCATATAACCTTATATTTCTAAACCCTATTAGATCGAGAGAAAAAAAAAAGATAGAAATGCGTGCATGCATTAAATTCTTTCAAAATTGATTTTTGCTATTGAAGGAGTTGTGGCCACGTATATGTTCATATGCTTTTCTTGATCTCTGCATTCGGTAAAAAAAAGTTAGTACTTTTTAAGCTATTCTGTTTCTTTGAAATCAGGTACATGTAATTATTGCAGTATAGACCAGGTCATATCGTTGCTGAATAAAGCTACATCAGATACACCTATTATTATCTTAAAGTTTTGGCAATTTATTCCTTAAACATGAACGTAATGAGGAGAAGACATGTGCAATATCATAAACAGAATATATGACGTGCATGAAAAAGGGATAACAGAGTATATCAACCAAGAAAGTCAGCTCTCTGAATTATAATATCTAACAATTTACAAATTTGCTAAGTTGATTATAGTCTTAGTTACATGAAAAACAGTTCAAATTTCACACCATATTGAAAATAAATTACAAAGATATAGTTTATTGGTTGTAGGAGATTCGACGAATGCTAGCAAAATTGATGTTTAATATCGTGTATGTCAAAAAATAATCCCCTGAAGTCATACATTTTTTTCATATATCATATAGTAGTATTGTAGTCATTTGTTCATTATCGATTGACTTTTTATGTCAGAAATTAAAAAAATGAATACCGGTATAATTAACGTGCAAATATGATTTCTATTCATATGACCACGGGAGCAAAATACATGTATGTATCTTTTATGAAGTCTACATCTGACTTTAACTTTTCTATCGTCAAATTCCCTTACTTATGCAGCAATATACCTTCATCACCTGCATACGGCATTTATATACAGTATACATGTATATCTCAGTTGATTCGATACGCAAGAGCATGCTCGACGTATGAACAATTTCTAAAACGTGGTAAATTATCGACAAACAAGCTGATGAAACAAGAATATCAGCAGTCTCGTCTAAAGTCATAATTTCGTAAGTTCTGTGGTCGATACAATGACCTTGTCAGCAAATACACTTTATCATTGAGTCAAATGCTGACTGACGTTTTTCATACTTATTGTTAGTCCATTATTTATACACTGAATTGACGACGGATTTTTCCGTTATTTCCCGATCATGACAAAGAGCACACGGCGGATGTGACCGGTCGGCAGGGGATGTTCACTCTTCCATGGCACCTGATCCCACCTCTGATGTTTTGGAGGTTCGTGTTTGCTCTGCTCCTATTTTGTATTGTTTTATGGACTTTGTTATTGAAAACTGTTCGTTATCTCCATATCCTTCATAAACGTACGCCTTATGGTTAACTTGAGCTTGAATTTCCTTTGTTTCTCGGAATCTTTAGAAATAATAATCTAATTTTAGAGAGCTCAAAGATTAATCTTCATAAAATATTTAAAATCGTAGCCGGACTGTTTCTATTTGTAAAAAGTCACATATGAAAAGTATCCCTGTTTAAAAATAAAGAGATACTTTTCGAGTATTAGTTCAGAAAACATCTAATATATAAATAAATCTGAAATCCAAATTTTTTCAAACTTTAAATTTAGTAATAAGTAGAAATGAAATGCAGTACTGTAAAGCTACAGTAAAGATAGTTTGCGACATGTTTTGCAGGAAGAAGAAAGAATTGCTACAGAAAAAGCGGAACTCAGGAAAGAGGTGGAAAACGAGATAAACACGCTACAACAAAATCTCACGAAATTACAACAGGTATTATATAAAAATAACACTCTACAATTAAATCTAACTAAATTATTACAGGTATTATAAAAACAAAAACTACAAAAAAACCTCACAAAATTACAGCAGGTTCATAGTTAAAACAAAAATATCACACTACAACAAAACCTCGACAGGTATTGTAATAGAAAAAAATTAATTACAACAAAATCTTTAAAAACTTATAACAGGTATTATAAATAAAAACAAAAATAAAAAAAACAAAAATAAAGTTTTAAAACAAAAATATTACAGCAACAAAATCTAAAAGAAAAAATAAACATTACAAAAACTAAAAGTGTAGAAAAACAAAAATATACAAAATCTCTAAAACATCAGATTTATAAATAAAAACAAAAATAAAGCTTTATAATAGAATCTACAAAATTACAAAAGGTATATACAACAGTTGTACAATTTTAATATTTTAAATCAGGAATAAAATCAGGAATAACACACTACAGCAAGATATCACAAAACCACAACAGGTACTGTAAAAAAAGTCACAACAGGTATAAATTAACACGCTATGACAATAGTTCCCACAATTACATCTGGTATTGAAAAAAACCCGAGATTTACAAGCTACAACAAAGTAACACAAAATAATAAATATTTTCTGTGTGAAGAATGCATTATAAGAGATGCATATTTTCTTTCAGGACAAATCTGATCCGAGAGGGTCTGAATTAGAGGAACAAGTAAATAATGTAAAAATAAAACTGGATGAATTAACATCGGAAAACAGAAGACTCCGGAGTGAACTGACAGACGCACATACAAACCTAGCTCTGGTCAGAAGTGAACTGGCTACAGTCAGACAGCAACATAAAGACAAATGCCAGGAACTGGGCATGTTAGTACCATTATCGTTTGAATACAAATGAATGAAGATGTAGCTTTTCTATGTTCTTTATTTTACCTTTTGCAATGGTTTCCTTACTTTTCACGTCGCTGTTACAAGTATCACCCTCTGTGATAAACAACCAATGTTCTTTTATGAATTTTTAAAGTTACCATGTCAATTTTAATACTTTTTTCCAGGGAGAAGGAAACAGTAATGGACTACATTAAAGAACAAGACAATTTGACACGACAGCTTCATCTATTACAGTAGGGTTGTTTTCTAATTACAATTTGAGGATAAATGTGTACGGAGAAGGTAACCTCAGAACACTTTATTTTGAACCCTTTTTATTTCTAGTGACGCCAATAAACAACTTCATGACACCAATGATGACCTAAGACTTGCCATCGAAAGCAAACGGAATAGTCAGAGAACATCTGTAGCTGTAAGCTTAAAAACTTTGATATCATCAGACACAACCAAATATGTAATATCTTTCACTTCTACTTACCATTTACCCTGTTTCTGTTTGTTTCTCTATCTAGAGTGCTTCCAGCTCGACTCCAAACACCTTTGGTAAAGACAGAAGAGGATCCGTGATGAGTGAATACTTCCTCGGGAACCGATCAGGCCCGCCATCGTGAGTTATAGTCCTCAGTCAACTGACAGACAGAGTTTATTTAACGTTCAAAACGTTAGTTAACTATCAGTATATATAGATAACTGTCAGGATTTCTGTCTATTTCTAGGGTACGATCTTGCAATCTCAGTCCTGCGTCATCCGTTGTAGAGGAGCCTATATCTAGACAACTCTCCGTCGGGAACTACTCACCACGCCGTCTTCCCGCCAGGTTGCCTAGAGACGATACGTGCGAAGAAGATAACCTAGGCGATGACATGGGTCAGTACTTAGTAACTTCTTATAAAAATCCTAACGTAGTACGATCCCCAGGTTCAGATAATGAACCTTAATTCATATATTTAAAATGCTCTTTAAAATGTCCTTGAGTTCTCTAGGTCAAATTTATTTACTATTTACCCATGGTTTTCTCCATAAGTCTTCATTCTGATTCATCATTTTATATGGGGAATCAAAATTTCAGAAATGTTTTCAGGAAATACTAAAATAACAAAACTACCCTATGCTATTCATTTTCTAATTGAAAATTAACCAACAGATAAAATTATAAATATTAATTTGTTCATTTTATATCATGGTATTTTTCTTTATCTATTTACTCAAATTTTTAAATGATGGTGTAAAAACTTGTAAAATCAACACCAGACATAACAGATCAATCATTTTATTTATTCATGAAATTATTTATTAATATGTCTGTCTATTAAGCATTGGTGTCTTAAAGGCAAAAAAGACTTGAAAAAATGTATTTATTCTTGTACTTTTATGGAGTACAAATGTTGACTTTTTACAAGACCGTTTCCAGGATTTCGAGGATTTTTTTTTCATATTGAGATTAATGAAATTATAATTAGTAAACGAAAGTTTTGTTTTGCCTTGAGCATTTTCAAGTCCCGTTGATAGTTTTTAAATACAACAATAATTTTGAGAGTAACAGCATCCTTCCTGGCTGAGTTACGGATACATTCTTAATCTTATTTTCACTCTTTGTTATAATTAATATACCTGAATTTCATCCAACAGTTTTTTTAGACGAAAAATCATATGATGTTCATTCATTTTGGATGAATTAATGGATTCATGTTTTATTTTTAGAAAACAAATCTTAAACAAAGGATCGAATGTAAATTTTAATGCCAAAGCTATTTATCAAGGCTTTTATGATGTTGCTTTCATGCTGTTACCTTTGATTTCTTCTAGTTGTTCGCCTATCCACAGCTTTCTACCTTGTATATCCAGAACACATGGGTAACGGCTCATTTGTATCACGTGCTGTCTATTACTATCACGTGACTTGACATATCAAATCACCCTTTAACAATCTTTTTGAACATAATTAAAGATGCACACTGCATAACCCCTGCATTTTCACGACATTAAACTATGAAAACAAAGATTGTTTTTGTATGTGTGTTCCTGTAGATACAAAACAACAGTATCATCTGGCACTCTGTCATTTCTTATATGGTATCATAATTATTGCGATCAGACAATCCTTACATTTCAATTCTATTTTCATTTTTTGTTAGAATAATTAAGCTTATATGTCAATAGTAGCTGTATTCTGACGGTATTAATGTTGTACATGGAACACTTACCCCCGACCTGTATATGTTGTACAGATAGTGGACATTCTACGCTGAGGGAACACAATGATTTAGACACGGAGTCCGAGGCACACTATGATGACGATCTATACAGACATCGAATGTTCACACCAAAGATCCAGCCCAACAGACTCATAGAGGAAACAGATGTAAGTTACTAGGGAAGAAAAAATGAAAAAAGATACAAAATGTATAATGCCTTATGGGTTTCAGAACCTTTTTCATTAAATTTTTATATAGGGTATCTGTTTTTTATTCAATTAACACAGGAACCCGAATCTCATGACGAAACTGAATCAGAATCTATAGTCCCAAACGACAATAGATCACTCCAGATACAAACGCGGCTAGGAACACCAAGTATCAGGTCTTCCCGCGCAAGTCTCAGATCACGTGAGAGCAGAAACAGTCGTCTGCGCCGCATGACAGCAAGCCAGGAGGTGAAGATTTGAACATAAAATAGCTTACAGTAAAGATATTGATGTTATACTGTGTCTATAATTTACATGTTTAATTCCTCTTTTTCAGTCTATTGGTTCTTCAAAAACCTCTCGTGACCCAGAAAGAATGTATAAAATAGTTTTAGCAGGCGATGCCGCTGTAGGGAAATCTAGCTTCATCATGAGGCTATGCAAAGGAAAATTTGTACCAAACCTCAGCTCCACATTAGGTGTGTATAATGAATCTTGAAAAAAGAATCATTTAAAACCCAAACATTTATTAAGATACAGAAAATTAAAAAAAATGATTGAATTGAGAAATGATACTTAATACATGAACATTCATTGTATTCTAGGAGTTGACTTTCAAACAAAGTTATTGGAAGTTGATGGTAGAACTATTGCTTTGCAATTATGGGATACAGCAGGACAAGAGAGGTAACTCTATCTGGAGTCAAAATATACTGTAAATTAACGTACATTTAAAAATAAAAATCCACTCTCTATTAATTTAGCATGGTCAACAATCTATTTCAAAGATGTTGTTATTGACCAAAATGATTATGATAATTATTCAAAGAATTCATATTTTTTGAAGTTTCATGATATTATCATATTGTTATTTTTTAGGTTTAGAAGCATTGCCAAGTCATACTTCAGAAGGGCTGATGGAGTGCTACTGTTATATGATTGTTCTTATGAGAGATCGTTTATGAGTGTTAGAGAATGGGTGGACTCGATAGAGGTAAGGCATTTGTGATTACCTAGAATTCACTAATTTAATCTATTTCTGTACAAACATAAGTGAGCTGCGTATATAAATATGATACAATTTCTTGATTTTGGAAAGAGAAAATAATCTCTTGATAAAAAATAAACTTGAAACCCCTGGTCATTATTACAGGAAGGTGCTCAAAAGAAGGTGCCGATCATGTTGTGTGGAAATAAAACAGATCTGAGAGACGAATCTGAAAAACAGGGGAGGAAAGTAGTCAAGTTTGAAGATGGACAGAGATTAGCAAGGGTAAATAAGATATTACTTATTGCTATATATACCCTGTTCTCATACTGTAAATCTTGCTTACTGATTCATGTCATAATAATTCTGTGCATTAAGCCATTGATTGTACTTTTTGATTATCAGGAATTTGAGGGGCTTTTCATTGAAACTAGTGCTAAAGATGGATCTAATATTGTGGATGCTGTAACAGAACTATCGAGGTAAATATATGTCTTCAAGTTTATTTTAGTTGGCATGCTCTTGTTGTTTTTATTAATTTCAATGGTTTTTAGACTTCTTTTAAACCCTTATACACAATTACCAGTATTATAACTATATAAGAAGTCATTATATTTACATGTACATAGTTTTTTTAGGAGTATTGATTATTTACGTACTGATATCGTATTTAATTTGTTTTTATTTCCAAGTTTTTTTCTCCTAAAATTCAGTTTATATTTTTGTTCTTATTTTTTGTTAAAGATTTTTTGCTTTGATATTTTTTACCCTCTAGCAATCCCTTTCTTGTTGTGTATGCATGCTTGTCCCCCTTTTCTTACTTCCCACCATAATCTGCTTTTTCAGACTTCTCATGGCAAGCGAGGATTTTGAACTTGTGACCTCTGGACTCCAACTAAAGACAAACTCAGACTCTACAAAGACAAAATCAAAGTCATGTTGTGGTTCTTAGATATACAAATAGTCAACCCAATGGTGAAGAGATAGTTCTATTCCCAGCCCAAGACGGAATCGCTCTGCTTTTTTACACCTTGTCATTTTTAACCATTTCAGACTTCTCAGCTCTAATGAAGATTTAGAAGTGAAAGCCGCGGGGCTTCAACTGCATGACCCCGACTATGATCCCAGTAAACAAACCAACTGTTGTGGGAGATCGTCTTGAAATGTTAAACTTCGTATCTCAGTTGGGATCTCTTGTATAAGATCTTGGGAATAAGGATATTTTTTGAAATTTTTTGCAGACTATTAGCATCGAATGAAGATTTAGAAGTTAAAACGTCTGGCCTTCAGCTACATAGTGGTAACGCGAAGGAAAAATCTTCATGCTGTGGATCTTAATATCAACAACATTTACTTTTATGTACATATAATATATTAAGTGTTATTTATATTTTTCGCAATTCAAAGATCACTGCAAGCTTATATATTGTTCTTAATAATTTATCTAGCGTACGGGGGCATCGCTTTTAAAATAAATTGAATCATTTTAAAGCCACAACCAAGTTTTACATCGTATGTATGTTGATTTTTTCCTTATTTTTTAGGAATTTAAGTATATCTCTTGTACCAATTCATAATGTAGTGCAATAATAACATTTTAATTATATATTTTATGCACAATTTTTTAGGATCAATTTTGAGATTGCGTGAAATGTAGTGTTCGCTTTCGACATTTCATGCATTTCAACAGGGCACTGATAAGTCAATATTGTAGAAATATACGTTTAGCACATACTTTGCATTATTTTTATTGTTCAATGCATTTGTTTTTAAATTCTGGACATTTATGTCTCATTTTCAAATGATTCAAAAGATCAATAATTTACAATTAAATACTTACGTAGCATATCATAATTTATACAATAACTCTCCATCTCTAAATGATACTTGCTTTCTAGTCTTATTTGTTGTTATATATTTGCTGGTAATTACTTGTTAAGGATACACAGCTTTTGTTATTTGTTTTTAAAATAAAACTTTAGAAATGACAAATTATTTGTCTTCTATAAGGGAGGTCACACCTGATATTGTTTATGTCAAATATCAGGAAGTATATTTTAATATGAACTCAGAAAGTACAGCTCAAAATCAAGAGTAATTTGGGGAACAATGTGTATAATACTGAGCACAGTTACAGTACTGGTAACATTTTATTAATCATTATAAATTAAATCAACCTGTAATTATAGCAATAAACAATCCTTCTTTAAGTAAAACAGTTTTAATGAAATACATTCTGAATAAAATCATTATTCCTAAAATCTGAATGCGTCTTGTGGAGTAAGCAAGATTTCTCTACTAATTTTCTCCATTTGAAAGTTTCTACCTCTCTTTAAGATCAATGACCCACATGAAAATATCAGATTGCCACCTATGAACATAGCTCCCTTTCTAAGGAGGACATTCTTCAAAATCATATGTCAATTTTGAATATCTTTAATATTCCAAACAACCAAAATGAATTTGAATTACCTTATCTATATCAGATACCAAAACTTCATAAAACTCTTACAAACAGAAATACATAACGGGTTCCAGTAAATGTTTTACCAAGCCTATTTTTTAACTTCTCACTAAGATATTAACGGTAGTGAAGGAGAAACTTCAAGAGTACTGTTCAACACTATACGAGAAGTGGTGTAAATCAAATGTGGATACTAAAAAAATTCCAAGGAACTTTTGAAATCACAAAATACATTGTATTACCAAATTCAACAGCATAAAAAATAACGACTTTTCAAATTTAAATACATCTAGTCCTCACGATGAATTAAAGTCAAGACTTTCTGGTACCACTGACAGCTGCTTTTTCAAAATAAAAAAGGAAGTCGTAAATTTACTTACCTTGTCATTGGTTATTTGCAAAATGTCTTTGTTAAAAACATTTTAATTGTACACAAAAGTAATCTGAAGTTGATATAAATAAGATGCTGGAGTTTTTGATTGATAATATTAATGTCTCTCTATTTGGAGACCAGGTCTTCCAACAATATATTGGAATTCCCATGGATACCAATTTCGCCCCGTTATCAGCAGACCTATCTTTTTATTCCTATAAAGCAGAATTTGTTCAAAATCTTTTACGTGAAAAGTAGACAACATTTGCTGTGACCTCCAACTCGACATAAAGATAAATCGACGACGTTTTGTCAGTTAGTTATTTCCATTCTTATGTAGACACAAAATACTAGTACCCCGATGAGCTTGAAGTAAAAGATACCACAATGTCTGACACATCTGTTTCATATTGAGATCTTTTTATCATAATAGGACGTTAATGGTTATCTAACAACAAAGCTTTATGATAAACGTGATGACTTTTACTTTTCAGTTGTCAACTTCCCTTACTTATGCAGCAAAATACCTTAATCACCTGCGTATGGAGTTTGTATCTCTCAGTTGATTTGATACGAAAAGCATGTTCTAATACGTATAAACAATATTTTTTTTAATTTCAAAATATAGTTGAAGACAATGTGAAGACCAAGAATCAACTTTAATTTAGCATCTAGGAAAGAAAAATTTACTCGGAGAAAATTTCATTTTTCAATATGATAATCTTTAACGTTTACATGATTTGGTTTTCTATAGCATTTGAAACCAAAAAAGTTTCAAAATACATCATACCTGAAAATCAATTATCTAATAAACCTTGATTTTTTCAACGCCAAATAAAATTCCATTACAACTAAAACAAAATGTTGGTGGTCGAATTGTAATGGATGAAAATAGTTTGTAACAAACAAGGAAGCTGTAAATCTTGGCATGCCTTTTTGGGTGTTGCAAATTAATAGTAGCTTGCTTCATATTTTTTTTCTTTCAAATGATTATAATAATACAAAATGTGCCGAATGACGTTTTTTACACTAATTGTCAGGCCATTATTTACACAATGTAATTCAGGGGGAGAACAAATACGGACCTCTGAAACATCAGACGTGGAATCAGATGCCGTCGAGGGGTGAGCATCCCCTGCCAACCAGTCAAACCCACCGTTTGCTCCTTGTCATGATCGGGTAGACAGAAAAGTCCATAAAAATTTCAGTGTGAAAATAATGCCTTATAATTTGTTTAAAAACGTCAGTCAACAGTCATTCGACTGAATGAGTGACTTTTAATGTTATAATCTAAATCGTCAACTTTCCTTACTTATGAAGAAAAATACCTGCACATGGGTTTATATCTCAGTTGATTTGATTTTAAAAGACCATATGAAAAACAAAATAAAACAAAAACCTTATAATAAATATACCGGACATTGCCATCAGACTACAACTGTAGAAACAGACATTTCTAATTTTAGTAACCATGGCAACACCGTTCATCAAAATCAGCTGCAGAATTTTGATTAATGTTTTAATTTCAAAATATACTGAAATCAGATCAAAACTGTAGGAGGAGTAAATTTTAAGGAATTTCACAGAAAATTTATTTTTAGTAACCATGGCAACATTTGTAATCAAAAAAGTTTCATGTATCATCTACTTGTGTGAAAATTATATTGAAATCAATCAAAACTGTTGATTTTTTAAAGAAATTTCACAGAAAATTCTATTAGTAACCTGGCAACACCGTTAATTGAAATCAAAATGGTGCACTATTTTATGCATCTTTGTTGTACTTGTGTGCCAAGTTATATTGAAACAAATGTAGGAGGAGTAGCGTTTTAAAGGAAATTCACAGAAAATTCTATTTTTAATAACCACGGCAAATTCGAAATAAAAAACAGATGCTCTGTTTTATATTTTTATTTAATCTACTTGTGTGCCAAGTTATATTGAAATCAGACAAAATTGTAGGAGGAGTAGCACGTTTTTTCACAGAAAATTATTTTTTAACCATGGCAACACTTCTCAAAAACCAATGCACTATTTCATGTATCTTTGTGTAGTCTACTTGTGTGCCAAGTTATATTGAAATCGGATCAAAACTGTAGGAGGAGTAGCGTTTTAAAGAAATTTCACAGAAAATTCTATTTATAGTAACCATGGCAACACCGTTCATCAAATTCAAAAACCGATGCACTATTTCATGTATCTTAGTGTCATGACTTGTGTGCCAAGTTATATTGAAATCAGATCAAAAATAGGAGGAGTGTGAAATAATTCCAGAAAATTTGTTTAAAAACCAGGTCAACACCGTTAATTGAAATCAAAAACCGATGCACTATTTTATGCATCTTTGTGTACTTGTGTGCCAAGTTATATTGAAATCAGATCAAAACTGTAGGAGGAGTAGCGTTTTAAAGGAATTTCACAGAAAATTCTATTTTTAGTAACCATGGCAACACCGTTCATCGAAATCAAAATCGGATGCACTATTTTATATCTTAGTGTAGACTTGTGTGCCAAGTTATTGAAATCAGACCAAAAAGAGCATGAAAAATTGTTTAAAGACGGACAGACAGACAGATGAAACAATTAAGAGGCCTATTTAAAAAAAATATATGAAGCACAATGTACTAGTATTAGTTTTCAAATTCTTATACATAAAAAGAAAAAAAAACGCTGGATGCTGCCTTGAACTCAACAATTAAATGTATTGACGAGGTATTATTATACAAATATAACTTAATAGTTATTTCCATGATACATATATCCAGGGCGCGCGCTATCAATATCTGTCATCCTGGGTCATTATAAATGCAGCATGTCCATATTTATTATATTATATATAATAATATTTATTAGTGCAATGAATATCACCTATTATTTACAGAGATAGTATTATCCATAAATAAGATGAATGTAAATGTTTCAGAATTAATGAATATTTTATAAAGTGAATAAATTTCCCATATCATAATAATAAATGTTGTAACACAGAGTACCCCCTTCCCCTGAGAATGTTTTACACTTGAAATGGACAAAATATAAATACTATGTCTTATTTTCATGGTATGCTTGTCTATATTTTTTTTTCCGTAATCGCGTAAACATTCTGCTCGCCGATGAAACCAAAAATGGTATGTGGTAATTATTCCCGAAAAATATTCACAAATATCCTTGTAATTGTTTTGTATTATCCTCAGGAGTTCTTCAGTATATGTTTTAAATTTTCCTCACCTACAACTTGCGAATTTCCATGTTTGTCTAAAGCGAAAGTGAAAATAGATGTTGTTATTATTCGGAAAATCAAGTATATATCACAAAGTTATATAATATCAATTATTAACAATAGTTATTTCCATTCATATATCCACGCGCTTCCTGATAGGTATCAGATGTATGAGATTTTGTGGCACCTTTTATGTCGAGGTTCATATGGACATGTCGAATTAATTTAATACTTTAAAGTTAATATTTTTCATTGATAAATGTTGTCGATAAGTCTAAATGTTTTATTGAAAGGCACAGGAAAAATTCTTATTTTCACGATGAAGTTTTTAAATGAATTCTGCTTCATATGAAACCCAAAAAATAATAAAAGGACGCAATTGGAATCCTCAGGATTCCAAGCGATTGTTTAAAGACTTGATTTCCAAAAACAGAATAGATGTTGTTAATCGGAAAATCAAGCATATATCCATTATTTACACGCTCAATAGTTCTTAAGTCCAATCATGAAAAGGAGCACAAGAGATGCTTACTCCTCCACGACACCTGATCTCACCTCCGATGTTTTTTAGTTCTGTGTTTACGCTGCTCCTGATCTGTATCATTTCAATGGACTTTTGAGATTGCTTACTGTTCGTAACTGCCAAATTTTACTGTTATACTTTTCCCTTGTGTAAAATATTTTTGAATATATTATGACAACCCTTTTTGCTGGAAGTGATGCCTTTAAATCCTAAATAATAATACAGATGTTCAACTAATTTCAACATTTTTATATCCTTTTTCTTTTCGATAAATTTGGTCTGAATGGCTTCTTTGTTAAAAGATTTAATGTAGAATGCATCGTTTAAAATAATTTTTAGCAATTTCATGAAATGTTAA